AAAAGCATCAAGACATGAAGCGAAAAATTTTGCCCGAACACTGATATTTTGTATAGTAACTTGTTAATCCATGCATCGCCATCACATTAGATAACATTGGACACTGAAAAAAAATTATGATAAAACTATGCTTCCAGTGCAGTCTAGTGCTGCATAACAAATATGCTCGAGGTTTCACTAGTACAAGAATCCGAGCAGGCCTTTATATTGCTTAGAAAGTAGATGCATAGAATTTCTTCAAAGCTCAATTGTCAAGTTCCATTGGTACAATTCTTTCTCTGGAACCTTTAAATTCAGGTTGATCAAACCAGACTTTTCTTCATAATCAAACTTCTCTTCTTTCATATCAATCAATATTCTTTCAGGTCTGACTGATTAATAGGCCCCAAACACGCCACAACCGCGAACCTTAATGTTAATAATTCCAGTTTCCGGGGATCCATAGTTTAGTTCTGTAATTGCTCCACCAGAATTGAACATCTTGAGGAGACCTATTGGAGCAAAAGCAGCCCCATTAGATAACCGTTTGATTGGAACAACTGTGAAGACTTCATATTCTCGAGCTTGAAGTTGAATCGGTAGGGATTTGTTCTTTGGAAGATAAAGCGCATTCCCTGCAATTGGCATCAACAAGAACTCAGTGGACCAAATTGGGCAAGTTGCATCGGAGAGGTCTTGTGTTCAATTCGCTAAGGACGAGAATAAATCCACGTTGGGGCCCAACCCCTAGAGGGCTGTAGTGATAAGTAAAATGCATGAATAACCCCTGAGCCAACCGAATGAAAAAGGGCAAGATGGGGAAAGTCTGTGGTTGTTACAATATCGGTATTAAGTGTTGAGCAAACAAAACTTACCACCTCTATGCGAATACACAATAGTATCTCCAGTCCATCCATGCTCAGCAATGTTGGTCAAATAATGAACATCCTTAGCTTGGATGGTGCAGGACACTACGCCTGGCTGTTAGTTGTGGACGAGATTCTTCGTACTAACTCGACACCATGCAGCTTCTTGGCAATTAAACACCCCAAGAATTCCGGTGAAGTCATTCATATTCCAAATTTTCAGAAGACTGCAACGAAGTCCATAAGTTGTTATAAGACAGCCAAAAATGCTCAGTATAATGAACATAATACTGTCCATTGCTTTCCAGTCTTGTCTATCAAACACGACAAGAGAGTTTAGAGAATGCTTAAGATCTTTCTATGTCATACCTTTTTCCATCTCTAGTAGGATCAGAAAACAAACAATCTCTAGTTGGTCTCCCGGGAAGTTTTGCCCTCAGTGTGGAACCTCGGGGAGTACAAGTTTCTTCAAAACGAGGAAATCGTGGTGCCCGGGTTTGTCACTGCACGATATACAGTTTTACAATTCATAAATATTATGGTATGACCAAATATGCCTGCCACAAGTGTAAATTTGGAATCATAAAAGAGCACCTGACGTAGATTGAACAACCTCCAACAGCACGAGCTGCTCC